TTTAGCTGACTACCGTACTGCTATAAGGTTTCAGAAAAACAGAAGGCAAATTTCAGTTAGGACACTGTTGCAATTAGTGCTTTCCTGGATGCAGCCCTTGACTGTATCAACCCATACTAAATCCACATGGCATGTGTGTGATTTGACAGAATTTAATCAACAGCTAAAAATTTGCAAAAAGAATGCAGTTAAAAAGTGGTGTTGTAACAGTGATGAATACCAGGGAAGCAGCGAGTTAGTGAATCTGCTGGTCTCATTGAAAATTAACCAAATTTCCTATTGATAAAAGGCTTTGAATGAGTATGTAGGAAATGTACTGAAGTACCTTGAGTTTGGGTTCTTGCCTTTCTGTTGAAGGTCCCTGAACAACTGGTTGGATGCTTGTTTTGAAGAAACCCTATGCATCTATTCCACTGTACAAATAAAAATGCACAGTGTCTGGAGGGCTGTAGAGTAGCATTACAGAAGCAGCAGGAGATGAGAGACCTGCAATAATCAAAAGGCTGCTAACAGATTCTCTTGCCTACAATAATTCTTTTGCTGAGTCTTGTTAGAGTTGTGGATAAGAAAATTAAAACTGCATCCCATGTTATATCAGTTTCCCTCATATTGTGTTCGATATTAGCAAGGTTTGACTGTGTATCCTGAAGAGTTTCCTTCACTACATATGACATTAAATTTTGATCAGCATTATTATTAGCTTAGTCTTATCCCCGTGTTGACACCAGCAATCGGGAGTAAGCATAAGAAATGTTAAGGACTGCAATGTAGAGAAGGTCAGACCATGATCTGATGGTTTCTGTCTTAAATTTTATGTTTGGCATATTCCTGTGGACAAGAACTCTAGGTAATACAGTTACCCACAGGCAGAAAGAGCAGGAAGGACATGAAGGAAGGAAACAGAGATGTACAGCAATTTCTAGATTTTTTTTTTGAAGATGGGTGAAGTTAGAATTACACAGAAATGGGTAGAGAGTAGGAAACTAAGGTTCATAGAAGCAGGAAGGGGATAAACCATGCAGAGCCCAGCAGACAATGGGCAGAACTTTAATTTCATATCAAAGATGAGAACAAATCAGTGAAGGTGTCTGAGAAGTGTCTGGAGTTTTCCTGAATGATAAATAGGGCAAGATGAATTCTAAAGATGGCATGAAATACGTGATGAGAAGAAGCTGGAACAGGCAAGGCATCAAGATGAAAGGCACAACAGGGCAGGCAGTGGGAGATGTCCCTGAAATATGGTTCTGGATATCCTGTTGGCATTGAAACTTAGGGAAGAGTCGAAGGTTATATATTCTTAGTACATAAGCATAAGAGACAGAAAAATACTGAATCTGCAAACAGTTAAAGACAAGAGAAAAGGAGCTGGAATTTCATTGACACCAAGGGAGTTTCTTTCAATCATGATACCACTAAACTTTCCAAATGCCTCTGAAAATATTTGTTGAGGCATGACTTATCTACTTTCAAAAACACTTTTGCATTCCAAGAGATAATATGGTTAGAGTCCTCTGCATGGGTTTCCATTCTGCAACCTTTTTTGAGGTGACTAATTCTCATGGAATTTCAGGGGATTTGATAATTTAAATACCTTTACTTCCATTAAAAAACCTAGCTACCTACTGCTAATAGATACATAAAGAACATGAAGGCATGGATGAAAATTTATAGGCTATCATCCAGAATGTTTGTAAAATGTCTATGATTAGAATAAATATATATAATAGACATCTGAATATTTCTAATTAACATTTTAGTTTTGTGGGTTTTTTCTGTTGTTTGAGGAGGTAGGGTGGGTTTGTTTGGCTAGAGGTTTTTGTATAAACTGCACCTGAATCAATCCTTTAAATGTTCATTGAATTAGGAGTAATGTGTATTTCAAATGTTATTTAAACATTCCTCTGCGAAGCCATTTTATTTTAAACAAGCGGTAAATGAATCACTTGCAGAGGTCTCCCTAGGATTGAAGATTAATACTGTTTTCTCCGGCATGAGACATTCAAATTCATCCTCTAGAAAACAATAGAGAACACTGACTACCCTTCTGGGAAAATGCAAACAATTCCGTAAAGTCAGGGGAGGTTTACATTACAGTTGTCATATAAAATTCAGGCAAGTGAAACCATAAAAGCCAAGCCAAAACAAAAACCAGTTTAATACAGGTGAATGTCAATGCCAAACAAGAAAAAGGCAGTGAAGTTGCAGCTTGTCTGGGTGACTTCAACACAACAGAACTGCATGCATACAAGGAATTTAAAATGAGGGAAGAACCTGAATGTGAACAAAACTGAAATTAAAATCGAGCAGTACACTGATTGAAAGTGAGGATAGAAAATGCAAGTAGCCAGCTGGTAGCAAACTTTAGCTACAGCAGATGTGAGTGCCGTTAGCTCTAAATGCATATTAAATTAAAGCCAGCATCTGTTCTTGCAGATATGGCCTCAGTCATCTTAAAAGAAAGATTAATTTGGAAATCAAAACTTTAGAAAAGGATTAATGGCAGGGGTTGGTAGAGCTAGAGAAACCCGATGTCTGATAACCATGGGCAAATGTTCACAGTCCAGTTTTTTCTGCAGCTCCGAGTGAGTGGTGTTACATAGGAGCTGGTGAAGGTCCTGCCCCTAGAAGTCAACAAAACCTTTTAAGGATGTGAATATGAGATTCAATGATTTGACTTCCTTCTAGACAATCAAAGCTAAGCAAGTATTAAAATGGTGACAAATGATGAGACAAGGAAAGCAAAGTCCCAAAGATTTCTAAATAACAATCAGCATCTAACTCTGAGCAGCACTTATACAAAGAGAAACAAAATTATTACAATACCAGGCACCATAAAATACTGGAACCTAGAAAAATGAAAGCAGTAAGAATGAGTCAAAAGTTCAATCGCACAGTTACCAAGCCTGGATGTAACTTCAGGAAACTGAGGAAAAGGACTTTCAAAATGATGAAGGGATTACAAACAGTAAAATAGGCAGTAGGAACTATCATCAGAGAAATCACAAACAGAAAAGAAATTGTGTCATCCAATCAGAGTACTGAGAGCTGAGGAATAAAGAAATGGAGGAAACATGCCTAGCTGGGCCTTCTGAACACTGTTCTTAGTCACTGAGTATTAAGACTGAGAAGAAGTACTTGGCAGCAGGAGGAAGGTTACAATAGAAGGGGTAAAGCGGCAGAAACCATCAGTGTTTGGTATCCTGCTCTTCTCATTGCACCATCAGTTATACAGTACTGGCTGTCTAAATTCATTTTAATAAATAGGACGCTGAAATAACTGTTTAAAAAACAGTCATAGAAAACTTGTTTTAGGGTCATAAATTCTGAATTAATATGTATATGCATGAGTTTATTTCTCATTTTGGGTCTTGCTGTAAAACATGAAGTTTAGTTTTATATGATTTAACAACCCTTAAGCAACAAAATTATGGTTTTGACCACCCATCTACCTTATTTCTAGAATATTGTACAGATTTAGAGCAATGTTGCTAAAGTAACAAGTCTAAAGGAAGAAGTTAGATGGCTTTGCTTAGTGAGGATCAATATTAAGTAATTACTTCTCACATTTTAACTTCTCTATAGTAAAGTTTAAAGTTTTAAAGTTTACAACAATATAAAACTTGAAGTAATCATAGTTTACTGTTTAATGGTGTGGAGCAAGGAAATTTTTAGAGGTAATGAGTCAATGAGACCATGTATTCTTAAATATTTATGCTACTTCTGGCATGGTTGTGCAAGAACTGTGGAATATATGCTACTACTATTTGCTTCTCCCAGCATATTGCCATGTCCCCTGCACAAACATGATCCATGAAATTTAGCCCTCACAGGTTAGAAATTATGTCTTTATGAAAGAATGGTACAATACTTCCATTAGAGAAATCTCTTATTAAGCCTCTGATGTTAACAACCTGATAATGGGGGTACAGGATGCAAGTTATAATGATAAAATTGGCTAGCTAGTATAATGTTGTTGAGTGCAGATTACTACACGATTTGTACAAAATGGAATTTGTTGCTGCCAATTTTTTTCTTATTTTGTACTGATAGCAAACATATCTGTTTTGTTGTGTTGGGCTGACATATAGAAACCTCTTGTCTTTAGCAGATATGTCTTGCAGACATATTGGTTTATGAGTTTTCAATAATAAATCAGTGATGAAAAGTTCTTTTGCACTTTTGTTCACTGAGAGTTGCTGTTTGAATGTTGAGTAAAAATTCATTTACTCTCACAACAACATAGATAATATCTGAAAAGATTATTATCCCTGATGGTAGAAACTATCTGAACCTCTCCATGCACTACTAACTACCTGGAGTCTATATTTGAAAATAAAAAAACAAACTAAAACATGTAAGCACGATGCTGCAGTTCTGTTCTTGTGTAATGTCTCCTATTGTCTTCCTACTATGCATTTTCATCATTCTCCCAATAAAATTATAAATGCTATTACCCAGTAAACATTAGAAATGTTATCCCAAATAAAATAAGCTGAAAAGATAATAGTTTCATTATTTAAACAAAAGAAATATTGTTCCTACCATATTTGCTTCAGGAAATTGAAAAGTGAAGATGGGATAGGGGATAGAAAAAGGACTGGAAATTTGCCCTTCAGTTTCAACCCATTTGGAGTTGAAAATAAACTTTTATTTTTAAAATAAACTTTTCTTAAATAATGTTGTTCAAATCATGGACTTGTACTGTTAGCAACTCATTTAAATAGCCACACTATAAAAATGGTTGGTCTGCATTGTATTTTAATGACAGTTTTGCTCATAAGAAGTGCAAGACATTATTCCATCAAAAAAAATCAGAGTTACTGCCATCTACAAATGACAGGCTGAATCCATGTGTATCAAAGAAGTCCATGGCATTGGAAGAAAAAGGAAAAATAATATTTTGGTCTAGAATTGTAACTGATGAAAGAGACACCCTAAATAACATAAAAGAATTGCTCTGGCCAGATATTCCTTTGATATATGGGTAATTTCAGCTGCTTACCTTTAGATTAAAAATATTAGTAGTGGTGTTCTCAGAAGTCAACACTAGATACTTGAATAATCCTCACAGATGTTCATACTTTAAATAGGGGAGGTATTGTCATTCCTACAAAATAAACATGTAGTAGGATGGAAAGGAAGAAATCCCTCCAAGATGTTGAAGTGTAAACATGGGTACTTGCAGCAAAGTACATGGAAAACTACAGTGGGAAATGAAAAAAGTTGTGGAAAAAGTCAGATTGTAAATTATAAGGAAAAGGGGAGTGGGTAAGTCTGTCATTTAACCCTGAGCATAAATGTTCTAATTGATGAGGTAGCTAGGAATGTAAAGCTGACACAGACGTACTACTCAAAGAGAATGGAAAGGGGTGTACAAGAGACTAAAAAGGCAGGAATTTTTAGTCCTCTTCAGATTCAAGCCAAAGAACGTCTCTAAAATTTGTAATAGGGATATGGGCTCTAAAAAAACCTCAGTAGTTAATCAGAAGCATTAAGTTCAATGATCAAATTGGAAGCCATAAAAACCAAACCAGAAATCAAAAGCAAACATCAGTAATAGTTCAACCATCTTGACAGAAAAGGGAACATGGCAAATTCCTCCTATTCTCGAATCTTTAAATCATGACATAATACGCTTGTTTGTTCCAAGTTTCTGGACTGTGGGTGCTGACCCCCTCTCTTTCCCCAGTGTCAGAGAATGCAATCAGGGAGTTGTGAAGCATTGAAAATTTACTGTGCTCTTCCCTACTCTTCGCACACCTTTTATCTTCAAGGTCAAGTTAACTTCCATTCACCTCTTAAACTCTCCCACATTATACAGATTTACTGTCACCGATAATTCTTACACTATTTTATAAAAAACTGGGAAAACCTAACTTAAATGAGAAACTTCAACTTAAGAAACTCTAAAAGGGCTTATCTAGCTCTGGTCACTATATTTAGTGATAGAACAGGGAAGCAAATACATCATTATACAAATTAGCTAATAATGTATAGAGCTGTGAATCTTATGTTTTAAGTAACTACCTGTAAAGAAAATGAAGCACAGAAGTATTTTCATGAGGAATAAAAACTTACATTTGGTTAAGAAGGAATTTTGTACTTGGCTGTTTCTGTAGCAATGCATAACTTCTACCCTGGCCAAGTTTTGTGGCTACTGACTGCTTTTGCTGCTTCTGTCTTCATTTCTGCTTTGACAATAAGTTATGTTCCCTGTGCTGTTTGGATTACTTTTGTGTTAAGACACTTAAGTCAGGCTGTAGGTACCACTTGAGCCATTTGTCAGAGATTCAAATAGTAGTTTATTTTAGAAACCTCTTAACTAAATTCACTGATGTGTTAAATGTGCATGATAAAGTCTTAAATTATCCTGTATCTATTGCAGCTACATGTAACAGGCCTCATAAAGTTTAAATATCATATCTTAATCCAGACAGTGAGAACTTGTAATTACATTGTGTATCCTGGGAGCTTGTTTATTACAAGTTCACTAATGTCTTTGTACTGATTAGGAGCAAGTAGTTTTTCCAGAAAATCCTCCTTTTTGTCTGACATACTGTTTTCCAGGACACTAAGTTCAAGATCAGACACGTTAGATGGCAAGTAAGAGTTAACTTTAGTTACTGACTTCTTTTCTTCTGCAGAGGTCTGCCCCTTTCCTATATTCAGATCAGTAGCAGATTTAACTTGTTTGCTTGTTGATATTTGTTTAATATGTTGATCACCCCTGTTCTCTTCCTTACTGATCTGTTGGGCTTTCTCCTCTTCATCTAATGATGCCTCCATCTGAGCAAGGTTAAGTGAGTCAGAGGATTCAGCACTAGTTCTTTTGCTGGTTTTAAAGTCACGGTTTTTCCTTGAAGACTGGACTGGAGATGAAGCTGAAGGAACTGGCACGAGATCTGAAGTACTTTCAGCTTTTTGACTTGTCTTTGAAATTCTAGACCTGCAGGATTCTGGCTCTGTATCTGACCTACCTTGCTTTGGGCTTTCAAGACACAGAGGTTCAGGACTGCTGTCAAGAGCTTCTGAGTCTGTACACTCAGCACTGGTGAAATCTTCGGAATAAACTGTGTTTTCAGGACTAGCAACAAAGTCATCCGAGTATATGAATTCAGAGTTGTTTTCAACACTCCTGCTGAGGCTGGGTTTATGACCACTTATAACAGATATGTCATCATGCTCTGTAGTTTCACGATGGATTAAGTGTATTGCTTCCTCATTACTTCCCTTTGCATTAGCATCTGATGGGAACGCTGCTAGGAGTTGAGCTTTTGCATACTTTTCCTCCTGAGCAGATTTTAACACAGTTTCCTCTGGTAAGGGGGTTGTAGTTACTTTGCATGGATGTTCCTTGCTTGCAATTGCATCGTTCCTCCGTAAACTTGCAATAGTCTGTTCCTGCAGGTCTGGGGACACATCTACTGTCACAGAAATGGACTCTGAGAGAACACTGTTTTCTAATGAAGTCTGGACAGTTTTATCCAACTGATTATTCCGCTTTGAACTGTCTCTCTTGCTACAATGCCTGCAAGAAACCACATGCTGTTCTCTGGCATTTCTGAGCAGCTTTGTGTTGAGTAAGGGACTTCTCTCCTTCAGCATCTCCATTTGCTTTTTTCTGTACTTCTCCCTCCTTTCATGAATTATCAGCTTATCGGGGTTGGTCTGCTGCAGCCGTAGCCTCAGTGTATTTGTCAGCCCATACAACAATTTTTTTCTGGGAGGTCTGTTCTCCTTAGCTTTGCAGTTCCTTTCAGCAGCTGGCTGTCCCTGGAGCACAGCTTTCTTAGGTCCTCTCCCAGCACCAGAAGATACTGGTGGGGTGGCCTCTTGCCTGCCCTGTTTGGATCGGGGGCTCACAGCTCCACTGCTCCCACCAGGCCTCACAGGTGCCTCTGTAGGCTTGAGGGCAGCGGAGGGGCTGGGAGGCCGTGAGGCCCTTCCACCACTCCCCGGGGCCTGGTAAAGCCAGGCAAGATGTGGGTGGACAGCAGCAGCAGGCACAGCGCTGTAGGTAAGCACCGACAGCTCCGCCAGCAAAGCCCTGAGTAGCGGCAGCTGCCCCAGGGTGTTGTGGAGCTGTCGAGAGCTGGCGGGGTGCAGCAACGAGGGCCCGGCACTGGGACGCGGGGGACTCTGGCCCTTGTCTTTCTCCTGCGATCTCCTGACCTCGACGTGCTCCCATTGCGCCGCGGCAGCCGCTGCTGGGTGCCGCTGAGGCTCAGCCGGCTCACGGCTGTAATAGAGCAGCGGAGGGCAAAAGACGTTGCCTTCCAGCTCCTCACTCTCCTCCTCCTCATTCGCCTTCTCCTTCTCCTCTTCCTGGTCCCCCGGCTCAGGGGAGGTG